TTGATGAGTTGTAGGTGTATTTTCAAAAATTACTTTCTGAAAGTTTCGTAGTGCACAAAACTTTTGGCTGATGCTTCAGATAAACACACATGAGCAAAAACACATCACCTTCTGTGGCAGCCGGCTAACCAAAAAAATAAAAAATAAAAAATAAAAAAACAAACCAAAAACAAAGTTTCTCACTTACTGAGTGTTTTGTTGCCCTTCTGCTTAGACAACAGCACAATTACGCTCTTAAGTTGCTCTGTCTTTTCCCTCAGTTGTCGACGAGCGTCTGAAATTAGGAATAAAATGTGTCACRAATGAAAAGTGAAAGCTGACAGCACCCTCAATATCTGGGACTCACCATCAATTTTAGCCTTGGATTCCTCAGTCTGGAAACTGATCCTCTTCTCCAACACTGTGATCTTACTCTGCACAGAAATCAGCTCCAGCACTGAAAGACCAACAGACACTGGGATTCATGACATATTTCCATAACAAGTCTTTCAAACTGTTGATGACAACTGACTGACACTCTGAGATCGAGTCTCCTTTTTCTTTCAGCGCATTGATATTTCCATCGAGTTGTTGTTGTAGATCTGATGAGAATTACCAGAAGGAGAAGTAAAGCAGAGAAAACAGAGACATTAGTTATTTAATGTGATAGTTCTGACATTTTGAAGTTAGGTTCAGTGAAACGTTGTGCACATTAACATCTTACCTGTTGTAGATAAATATTAAATGACCACAGTTTTTTTACTTTAATGATGATGGACGGTACTATTCTGCTGGTTTTGATTGACAAAATGTAACTAACATTACCTGTCTTCATAACATGATATTTATTTATACAAATCTGTGACACTTTYGAATTTATCCACATGAGCATGGACTGTGGCTGTAACAATAACAAGACCTTCAACATCCTAAAATGATGACGCAACATGGGAAAGTGTCCTGTGGTCTTACAAGTCACGTTTCAATTTATTTTATTATTATTATTATTATTATTTTTAATCATGGACCTCTGAGCCAAAGAAGAAAAGGACTGTCTGGATTTTTATCAGCACAAAGTTCAAAAGCCAGCATCTCTGATGGTATGGGGGTGTAATAATGCCCATGGCAAAGGTAACTTGAACATCTATGAAGGCACCATTAATGCTGAAAGCTACATACAGGTTTTGGAACAACGTACTGTATGTTGCCATCCAAGCAACGTATGTTTTCAGGGACGTCYAGCTGATTTCAGCAAGACAATGCCAAGCCACATTGTGYTCCAACAGCATGGCTTTGTTGTAAATAAACTGCAGGTAGTAGACTGGCCTGCATGCAGTCCAGACCTGTCTCCCATTGAAAATATGTGGAGCATTTTGAAGTGTAAAATACAACAATGGAGACACTGGACTGTTGTTCATCCAACAAGAATGGGAAAGAAATTYCACCAACAAATCTTCAACAGTAGTGTCATCAGTTCCCAAACACTTATTGAGAGTTGTTAAAAGGAAAGCTGATGGAACCCAGTGGGAAACATCCAAATCATCGTATTTTGTTTTTATGTATGTTTTACCACACAACATCCCAACTTCATTGAAAATGGGCTTGCACTAACACACATTATTCATCAATTTATCCTCTCAGTTTCAAAGGCAGCACATTTATCTTTTTTTTTTTTTGTTCCACATTGAATTGTAAAGATTATTGTTGTCTAAATAAAAGTGACAGCAATTTACCCAGAATCTTCCCGGTGAGCTGAACGGTAGTTTCGCTGGTAAACTCTTCCTGACTTAAATCCCAGATCTGATCCTGCAGTGAGATCGCCTGTAGAACTGAACAGACAGATGCATTTAACTCTCTTTATAGAAAGGCTGCTCAGAAATCAAAAAYGATAAATGCTTCTGCAAAGACTCTTTTAAAAAACACTTACTGTTAGATTGGGTTGCAGGGTGTCTATCAATACTTAGCTTCTTATCGTTCAGTTCATTKGTCTTTTCTTCCTGTTCCTTTTGCAGAACTGTGTGACACAAATACATTCTTCAAACAACCATCTGAATTTATTTTATTTATTGGAAGTTAAATGTAACAAATCAAAAATCAAAGAGCCTTGAAAAATCCATAGGGTAGCATACTGGGCCCATTGCTTTTCCTATTATACATAAATGACCTTCCAAAAATATTGAAG